AGGAAGGAAACATTTCAGCAGTCTTTTACAAACTTTTTTTAACTTTTTACCTCCTGTGACTGCAGGTAATTTTATGAATCCAATAATTTCATGAGATTCAAATGAGTCAGTTTCAAAATGTGTAAACATCTATCGTCAATTTCTAAAAAGTTCTAATTATTAGATGCTCCTGCCCAGTTTTAACTCCTCTATAGATGTTGTTCCTCATTAAAATATATAAGAGTTAGTGAATGTCTGAGCTTATCATGCCTCCTATCCTTAACAATGAGATCTGTACACGGCTCACTAACCTGCCACTCTTCAGCATCACCTCCTTGCCCTCAATTTATATCAAGTATTGATCGGTTAGACTCATCTCCCTTCCCAAATTACTATTGATCTAATACCATCATTTCTGGCTTTTTAGTTTGAAATGGGCTGCTACTATACAATGAGATGGAACACTGTGTGCATATTGTGTGTGTGTGTGTGTGTGTGTGTGTGTGTTTTGTGTGTACCTGACTGCAGTGGTGCTGAAGGAGGCAGAGGAGCGGGTGGAGATGTAGGGGTAGTGCTTGGTGTCCAGCTTATCCTCAATAGCATCCTTCGTGGGGTCAAAAGACAAAACAGATCTTTGACAGCAATACTGTCCGCCTTCACCACGCACACAAACACACATCAATAGGGGCTTCACAGTTGTGTCATGTCTCTTAGCAACCATGTGGCTCCATCATGGAGGTCCATTGGAGAATTGGCCTTGCACAAATAAGGGGCTAAATATAGCTGATGATAACCAGGCTGGAAAATCAGATTTGACTAAGGTTGTATAAATGTTGGGTGTACATCAACTGAAAAGCAAACAATTCTGTTAGCCTAAAATTGTTCGTTGTTTTTAGATCCACAATTTAGGTGTGCTTGAAGAAGAAAAGAAACACACCTACTGCAAGGATGTTTTTTAACTATAAAGAAGAGAACCTCCAATATAGCTGCTGGACAGCAGGTTAAAACCCTATTTGTCTTAAAAACACACACAAATTAAATTTACAGTACTGTTTAAGGCAGGTGTGGAAAGTGCTGTAAAGTAAAAAATTTTCAACCCTAACCCTAGTTAATAGGTTATTATAGATAGATTTATCAATTAGTGAGAGACAGAAGAAAATCTAATTATTAAATCAAATCATAATTATACTGTATACAATATTTGGTATGACCACCCTTTGCTTAAAAACAGCATCACTTCTTAAAGGCACACTTGCACATAGTTTTTGTTAGAACTTGGCAGGTAGGTTGACATCTTGGAGAACTATCCACAGTTTCACGCAGCCTCAGCTGCTTCTCTCTTTTCATGTAATCCCAGACAGACTCAATGATGTTGAGATCATGGCTCTGTGGGAGCCATACCACCATTTCCAAGACTCCTTTGAACTGAAAATAGTTCCTAACGATTTTCACTGTATGTTTGGGGTTGTTGTCATGCTGCAGAATAAATTTGGGGCCAATCAGATGCCTCCATGGTGGTATTGCATGATGAATAAGTATCTGCCTGTACTAATCCTCAACTACATTCCAGAAATGCAGCACCAAACTTGCAATGAACCTCCACCATATTTGTGTACTGTTGCCTGCAGACACTCATTTGTATACCACTCTCCAGCCCTTCACTGAACAACCTGCCTTCTACAGCCAAATATTTCACATATTTACTTATCAGTCCAGAGCAACAAACTGCCATTTTTCTCCAGCCCAGTTTCTGTGTTACTGTGCATAGGTAAGTCGCTTGCCTTGTTTGTCAGAGGTATGGCTTTTTGGCCGCAAGTCTTTGATGAAGGCCACTTCTGACCTCCGGACAGTAGATGGGTGTAACAGGGTCCCATTGTTTTCTTCAGCTCTGAGCTGATGGCACTGCTCGACATCTTCTGATTGTAAAGGGATGATATGTTTTTCTTCTGCTGCAGTCAGTTTCTTTGGCCGACCACTTTTCTACGTTCCGTAATGTTGCACGTTTCTTTGCTTTCAAAAGATCTTTGACAGCACATCTGAAAACCCCTGTCTGCCTTGGAGAGACCTTGCTGATGCAATATAACTACCTTGTGTCTTGCTGCTGTGCTCAGTCGCCATGGTGTACGACTTTAGACAACCTCACCTTGTTAGCTGAGTTTGGCTGTTCCTCACCCAGTTAGATTCCTCCTACACATCTGTTTCTGTTTCAGGTAATGATTGTGTTTCAACCTACATATTGAATTGGTGATCATTAGCACCTGTTTGGTATAACTGTTTAATCATACACCTGACAGTTCGCCTAAATGTCTGACTTTGAGCAAGTTTAACTAGAAGGACTACTGTTTTAAAGGCAAACATTGATTTGATTTAGATTTGTCTTCTGTTCACTCACTTTGCATTTTGTTTATTAATAAATACAATCTATAAATGTCTCTTTGAACCCATTTACTTTACAGCATTTTTTCCACACCTGTCTTTTGCGCAATACTGTATATGACTAAAGAAATAGCCCTTCAAACACCTCCATGATGTCCTTGACCAGTGGTGTCCAGCGGGACAGCTGATAGGTCTGTTCGCTCACACGCTCCTTCCTGTCCAGCTTCTTTCCTCTGCGGAGGTGGACTAAAAGAAGAGACAAAGACTTGAAAGAGAGAATGTGTATAAAGGACAAAAGCATTGGTGACCACAATCACCTGTAGGTCTTTCATATTGTCTGGCAAGATTTCATCCTTGCACACTGAACGAGGAGAGGATATTGTACAGACATTGCAAATAAAGGTGAGTGAGAGGTACAGGAGTGCAGACTCATAGTGCACATCAATCCCAACGAGATGATAGAAAGCAGACGGCGATACTGAGAGAGAAGAAGAAAAGAAATAAAAAGAGGAGCGGCACCCAGGGAGGACCTTACATCTGTGACGATGGGGACGCCCAGGTGAGCCATGTTGGTGATGATCTCACTGTCCTCAGGGGGGATCTGAGCATGCTGGATCAACTTGTTCAGGTTCTCCTCCGTAATGCCTGAACACACACACACACACACACACAGCAACTTGCAACTGAAAAACATGTATGTTTACATTTAATATGTTGAGTTTGTTCTGGGATGGAGGGAAATTCATGTTTTGTAACTTGAGTGCAAAAATAAAATCGTTATATTAAAACTCAAATCTTTGTAATAAACAGGAAGTATAAAATATACCTTTGAACAGCTTATTATTAGGTTATGTCTGACCTAAGAACTAACTTACTAAAGCTTTAGTCAGTGACAAGAAAATCTAGAAATTATTATAATGTTCAAGTTTTAACTGTGCAGTGAAATATCTGGCTAATGTCCCTGTACAATTCTGTACAACAGGTCCTATGTATTGTAATGTAATTCTAATACTCGCAAGTCTGAGATGATATTTAAAAGGGTGATCAGAACAGCTGAAGCAACAATAAAGAGTGCAAATAATTTAAACAAGCAATAAAAACCATGTAAAACAAAAAAACAAAGTTTAGCAGTTTTTACAAGATTTAGATTTGATTTCTTACCATTCTTGAGAAAAATGTAGAGCAGGATGATGCGGATCTTGTCATATGTGCTGACGTTGGCATCCAGCAGGATGGGCACGATAGCTCTCATGGGGTCTTTGATCTTCTCTCCCTCAGCGTCTGTGCCCATAGCCAGATCCTGTAACACAGAGCGCAGGTATCATATGTTTGTCATTTAAAACCCCTGGAATACACATTTCAAGGGATTATAAAAGCATTTTAATGACTGGAGACTTCAGAAAGCCCTGTTATCCCCCGCTTTCCTCTCGTCTCTCGCCTGCCCTCTCACCTGTTCCACACGGCACAGTTTGTCCACTGTTCCCTGGTAATGCTTCATACAGTCCTCAGCCAGCTGCAGATGAGTGGAGTACTGAAAAACACAAAACACGCAGGTTCAGCATACACATTTCTGGAAAACTCTCCCTCTCTCACACACACACACACACACCTTGCTGAGCTCCTTTTGGTACTGAGGCATCTTCTTCAGCATCTGGGACAGGTCCCTCATTGTGGTCTGAAAACAAAAACAAAAGCTAAAAGTGTGATGATGTCAACATCAGGGCAAGATATAATAAAATAGACATCGAAATTATTAATATCGGACCATATTTATGTTGGATTTTCTAATGGCAGAACAACCAGTTGGCCACTCAACACTTGAAGAGTTTAGTTAGAAAAGTAATTTATTCTATTTGGAAATAGAAAACATAAAGCTGTTCCTATTTGAAGTCTTGATCAACTAGATTTGATTGAATCTAATAATTATGAATTATAATCCTGTTTGTCCTTTTTGCTACAAATGTCAAAAGAAACAAAAGATAGAAACAAGACTTTTAATTTCTACTGCCAAATGATGCTGACAAAAGTTTTTTAATTAATTAAATTAAATACTGTTTACATTTTCTGAAAAGATTTTACATGTTGGGAAATAGTTTGCTTTCTTGCAGAGAGTTAGATGTACCTCTCATGTCTTTATGTTAAATGTGAAGCTACAGCCAGTAGTGAGTTATCTTAAAGACTGGAAGCAGGGGGAAACAGCTAGCCTGGCTGTGTCCAAACATAATCTGCCTACCAGCACCTCTAAAGCTCACTATACTAATATTATCTCATTTATTTAATCCATCCCCAAAAATGTAAAAACAAGTGGTGGTTTTACCAGGATAGCTTCCAGTCTTTATGCTAAGCTAGCCTAACCACCTGCTGATTTCAGCTTCATATTTAATGGACAGACATGGTGGTATCGACCTTCTTATTTAACTCTCAGCAAGACAATGAATAAGCGTATTTCGCCAAGATATAGAACTGTTTCTTAAAAATGAGCAGTTGATCACTTCGCACCACTATCTTGTCAATACTGTATGTTCAGACTATACACATCATCTAATCAACATTTTCTGTTGCAGCTCCCTCTTCACCTTCTCCCCAGTGTTCATCCGCTTGCTGGCAGAAAACTCCTTCAACTGGCGTGTCACTTCCCTAATGACAAAACACAAACAGCAAAGGAGGAGCAGCAACACATGAGAGAAAGGTCGTCATAGCGCTTAATTCAGTATTCAAAGACTGAGTGAAGAGATATACAAGAGTATGAAAACAAGTACTCACTGGGACACCTCCGCTATGTGTTTGTGTCTCAGGCTCACCCACAGGTCATCGTCTTCATGCAGCAGAACCTCCTTCTCACGAGAGTCTCCGATGCCACTCGTCTCATACCTGAAGAAAAACAAGACACACATCCTGACTGAAACAAATTTAGGTCCACATTTGTGATTGAAGCTGATATGAATATCTTGTCCGAGTTTTAACCAACACCTTAATTAAAATTGAAACATAGCCCTCACAAGTAATCATTTTTCTGTTTTGTCATTTGTGTTTTTCATACTTGTACACATCGTTTTCGATGGGCAAGAGGTCGTAGCCCATGGCCTGGAAGGTGAGTTCATGCAGGACAGGAGAGACGGGGTCAAACGCCCTGTCCAGGATGATCAGCTGTGAGCGAGCCTTATCTGGACCCTACAGAGAGAAGGACAAACAGATACAGGAATAAAAGGTATAGCTATAAGATATAAAAACGTACAACATGTCTTACATAATACATGTGATAAGTACATTCTCAGTAACAGACAACAGGTAAAAACAAAGCAGGAATATATGGCGACAAAAAAAGTATTCTCCTGAGCTTACCTCTCCCATAGTGGGGTCATCAGCCTTGTAGGCGTCCAGTTTGTCCTGAACCAGTTGGGCCAGGGTGGCATTGTCCTTGTACTCGCTAACAGAATGACAGACAGATGGATGGGTGGATGGACGGATATTGGACACAAAGATACACATTCAAGCAAGCAGATGAGCAAAAACATAAAGAAAAGACAGAAAAAAACATTTTGATAACCAATACTTTTGGAAGCATTTGAGTGGCAGGCAGGTGTGTAAGACCTCTGTCCCTGCTGCAGTTCCCAAAAGGACACAGATCTCAAAGGGGGGAAACATTCATTTAAGCAAATATGCTGAATCAGTGCTCTAATAATTACATTTAATTACTTTTTTTAATTGATTGAGGTCTGTCAAGTAGTGAGAATGGACAGAGAGAGCTGAGCAGTGTAGACAGATAAGGGCAGGGATTACAGCTGAACAGATAATAAGTCAGCCACCGTTAAGATGACCCATCGCGGCCGCTGTAGTTTTGATGTCTCCTGAGCTCGATATGAAAAGAAATGTGGTCTTTCAAATTTTCACACTTAGTAGTTCGACAAATGCAGGCCAACATCTTCACTGTAGCGCCCATGGTTAGCTTTAACACCTGATCTGTCCAAATATTTCCTTGACTTCTAAAATGCCCACTGCCGCTCACCCTCGGTATCTGACGGCAGGGTACTCCTTCAGGGTGGCGCAGAGCGTGGCCAGCTGCTCGGCCAGCCTCTCCATCACCGGGTTCTTCAGCTGGGTCTTATGTGGGCTGTAGAAACTGTGGAAGGCGTCTGCATTGTCCAGAGAGTACACCTGAACACACAAACATGCACACAGCGTAAACATTGCCTCAGCAAAACAGTTTCTTACCTACCTACTTTTGTTGATTTGATCTTTTCCACCTTCCAACATCCTTTTTTTACTTAATGTGCACAGTCTTTGTCTCAAAGAGTTGCTGCTGCTGACTGAAACCCTTTGTGTTTTTAAATTCATGAACAGATTCCACCATATAAAGACTAATTATTGATCTGAACAGAGTTTCAGCATCATGTAGAAACATGAACTGCTCTGTGTAAAATGCAGCAGGACACAGTGCACAGACAGCATGTTATCTTGCTGTATTAAATACAAGCTGGAGGTCTTGTGATGATATCAAACATAGCTGATTTACATATTCTCTCCTCTTCTGTTATCTTCTCTCCTTTGTGTTTATCCTCCTTGTCTTATCTCTCCTGCCGTTTCCTCTTGTTTCCTCTCCTTCTCTCGTGTCCTCATCCTCCTCGCGGTCCTCTCATCTCCTTTCTAAACCTCTTCTTTCCTCTCCTTTTTGTTTCCTTGTTTCATCACCTGCCACCAATTCTCTTCTGTCCTCTCACCTCGTCTCCTGTTTAATTTCCTTGTTCCTCCCATCTCCTTTCCTCTTCCTGTGTCTCCTTATCTTTTCTACTCTTCTACTTTCCTCATCTGCCCTGTTTCCACTACATCCCTCCTCTTTCCTCTTTCATTTGTTTGTTTCCTATCCTCTCATTTCTTTTTGCCTCTTGTCCTCTTGTCCTCTTGTTTTGTCTCCTCTACTCTCCTGTCCTTGTTTCCTCCCCTTTTCTCATACATGCATCACACCACTCCCTCCTCCCACCCCATCTGTCCACGGTCACATGCTGCTCTGCAGAAGCGTCCCTTTGTTAGCCCGTTTACCATTGGCTACCACTTGCTGTGTGGATCCTGACTCATCCAATGGGGCGAGCGTATCAGCCTGTGGGCGGGGCAATGAGGCAGCACATAGCCTGGAGCAGAAAACCACTGACTCTGAATTAATCATAGTAGACAGGAGGGGAGTAAAGCATTGTGGGCCAAACAGCATCTTTATGAGAGAGAGAAGGATGGGCAGAAGGAGAGATGTGGAACATAGAAGGAGAGGAGGGGGGAGTGGAGGACGGGGAAAATTAAGAAAAATATGGTTGGAGGAAGGGAAAGAATAAATATAAATAGGAAGAAAAAATGAAAAGCTTGATGAGAGCCGTGAGCAGAGAGAGCACAAGCAACATATAAAAGAAAGGATGGAGAAATGGCGAGATAGAAAAAAGAGAAAACAGGAGGAGGAAAAACATGATGGAGGTAGGAATTTGGAAATATAGCAAAGGTGGAGAAGCAATGTGACAAATGTGAGTCTTTTTGGAACAATCTGGCAGTAAACAGAGTGACTGGTGAGTCAGCAGCATTATGCCAAGAGAGGGTTTTTGTGTTTCTCTCTCCTCCCTCCATCTCTTTCTATCCATCCCTGACTCAAACAACCAGTAACCTCGCTGTTACTATTCCTGTCTGTGTCCTTTCAGCATCTCTGTCCTACCACCTGTCTTTATCGATTTCCCGCTGCATTTCTTTGTCTCTGGTTTTTGCTAGCAAACAATAAATGTGAATCAACTTTCATTCATTTCCTGCTAAGAGGAGAAAATATGGAGCTAATTTTCTGCCAAGGCTTAAACAATCAAAACATGTTTTAAAAATGCCCTACGATTCACTTACAAACACAGTGTGGTTTGCAAAAACAAATAAAACATTAACAGACATGCATTTTGTTGTGGAAATATTTCACATAGTTCTAATACATCATGCTTCAGAAACAAGTACAGTCTTATGAGTACAAAAATATATATCCTACAAAGACAAGATAGTATCATGTGGCATTTGGCACAATGTTTCCGCTGTGATTGTGCTAAGGAGTTTCTTACAAATGTCCTAGTAATTCGGCAAACAGCAGGTGGCACTCTGAGTCAATTTAACTGCCAGGGGGGTTGAGCAGAGCAGAGGAGGGCAGATTGAACCGCCGCTGTCAGCCACTGTGGACAAGAGGATGACAGCTGTTCATGCCAAGTGTGCAGGGGGTGGTTTTTTATATAATTCACCCGTTTAAATTATATTAACGCTTAATGTTATGCATGACTGACAGGTGGGTGCCCTCTCAGGAGGCTTGCCGCTAGGTGGTTCAGCCACCAGGTCTTATTCAGCCTGCCTCAGCTCCAACTCTTTGCCTACTTTTGCATTAGCCAGAGTCAGGCACTGCCAAGATAGTGATGGCCGGCGCCCACATTGAGCTTCACAACGGCTCTTCAGCAAACCCTCAGGAATGCTGAATGCAGGAGTGCTGTGCTTTGAAGCCAATTTGACATAGTGGCCAAATCATGGAATTACAACTCCCAGCTCCGTGACGTGATGCACACCGGCCCCAAAAGACTTTTTCCCATAGACTTACATTGTTAAAGAGGTCATATTATGCAAATATTCAGGTCCATAATGTAATTTAGGGGTTGTACCAGAGCAGGGTTTACATGGATGAATTTTCAAAAAACAACATATTTTTGTCATTCTGCACATTGCTGTAGCACCTCTTTTCAAGTTCCTATTGAGTTTATGGTCTCAATCGCTAGTTTCAGGTCTTTTTTAATACAGCATGATGTTCATTTAGTAAATTGTGGTCCCATTTAGAGGAAAATAGACCTTAAAGCAGAATATGCTTCAGGGCGGGATTATTTAAGTCGTTGCCATGGCAATCAGGCTCAGGAGTGATTCGTACCCACGGCACTGTGCAAATTTAAACAGTGGCGTTGAAAAGGTTATTAGGAGTTGGCGGTTCACTTTTTCTGGTGAGTACATTTAGTTTTAAGACTGTTGTTCGCTACAGAAAATTGTGAACCCTGTTAACATGACGGTTAACCTGAATTACAGATGCTAAGCAAGTTAGCTAGCTCCATACACGGCCGAAAGCGTTATTTCCATTTTGCCTGTGTGCGCACTGTAGTTCTCTACATAGAACTCCCTAGAGAGGGAGTGGTGAATGAGTAATGATTTTTGGATACAGCACTGGTAATTTTAAACCTGTACCTAATGCTTTTGGCTTCATATGCCACTGAGCAGCTTCTTTTATTACATCCATGCACTTCAGAAACCTATGGTTGACGGTCAAGGACATGATGTCCATGTTTTATACAGTCTATAGTCCACAGTGGCTGGCAGAAGCCTCTCTGCTCAACCTCTTGGCGCACTGAAATTGACTCATAGCGCCACCTGCAGTTGTGGGGAGCAAATTACTCAAGGCATTTGTGAGAAAATCCTCAGTACAATTAATCAATCAGTGTTTGTTAGTGATAGTAGTGCATTTGTAAAACATGTTTTTCTTTTGTTTGTTAGGTTATGGAAATTAGCTTCATAAGAAAAGAAAGGTGAATACTGGCAAGAGAGGGAAAACAAACCATGGTCCAGATGTGCACACGCACTGTTTTTGTCACATTTAAAAAGACATTTTTATGCCTGATTGTGTTTAAGACGTCTAAATCTAAATAAATGAATAATCAGCACAAGTGCAACCATCATTACACAAGACCATTATGCACCGTTGGATATTTACCTGAGACTCGTAGGGCAAGAAGGCGATGTTGATCTCCGTCAGAGTCTTGATGGTTTTGGAAGCGCGGCTCTTCACCAGCTCGTTGAACAGAGGATCAGGGCAGGCTGTAAATTGTAAATTAAATAGAATTAAAATCTAGGCATTTTTACGCATAGAGTTCCAATAACATCTTAAAATATGTTGTTTTTTTAAGGAACATTTGGTCATATTCGTGGGTAAAAACACCACTGAGTTTGCATTGTTGTTGGTGACATATTTCATTGACTGATGAAGTTCGTTAGAAACATGTTTACCTGCATTTTCTTAAGCATTCATCAAGTAACCTTTTTGACAGACAAGATTAGGGGATTCTCATCAACAACAAATCCATCAATTGACAGGATGTAGCGGCAGATTCTATGAGCACCAGCTCACATTACAAAGTCATTTCTCACTCACATTTTCAATGAAGATAACTGTAGCTGTGCAATGCAATACAAGAATACTAAAAACTAAAACAGCTTCAAAATATGCCTTTTGGCCTACATAAAATAAAAAATGAGAGAAAACATCAATTCAAAAAAACAAAAATGGACAATGTGAGGACATGTGTGTACTGTTCATTCATCAAACTAACCAATTTAATTAAAGATGCACTCCCTGTTTTTGTTACATCTAATTACATACCCATTTCCTCCCTGCTGACTATTGATGTTTTGAAAGATAACTGTGAACTTACAAATCACTGTGAGCTGGGAGGAAACTGGGGGGATCTGAGGACACTATTGTGGGCTCTAACAAATTGTTGTGCATTCAAATATATAAAAACAAGACAAGAAAGCAGTTTATCTTTGAAAAACAATGTTAGAAGGGGTCTTGAAAACAGCACTACCAAAGAAAACAATACAATAACACACTCAACAAAGTGCACAACTAAGCAAAGCAAAAAGCATATAACAAATAATCACAATTGTTAAAAGTGTATGTAGATAAAATGTACGGAAGCCCTAAGCCATTGATTCAAATATTTTTTTTACTTCGTTTTCCGGTGATAACGGGATAATTATCTCATGATCTCGAGATAACAAACCATAACTGAAAACAAGGGTCAGCAGGTGCGTTTCTTTAAGATAATTTTGTAACAATTGGCTGAATCAGTAGTTAGCTCAGTTGGTAGAGTGCAGGACTTGCATTCCAAGGATTGCAGGTTTAGCCCCTGTTCTCTGCAAAAAAAGTTTATTAAATATATTTATTGTTTTTGAATCATTCTGTTTCAAAGTTGTTATGAAGAGATTCAGGGGAATCCAATCACACATTTCCCAGAGCTATTTCAAAGGTTTGTCAGGAAATGTACAGTTAAATAGATTCCCCTGAATGAGAAGCGGATGAATTTCCTCTGCCTGGGAATGATGGGGTGATGAGTCCATAGGTTGATCAATGTGAACCAAGCGTACATTCCAGCACGTGATTAATTGTGAGCATGTGAATCAGTCATCTTCATAAGAACTTTGTTTAAGAGGAATATAAAAAAAGATTTTTTTAAAAGATGAGCGTTCCATGAAGATCAAACTCATAACCTTAAGACTACAAGTCTTGTGCCTTACCAACAGAACTAATCAATGACACAGAAACTACCTTGAAATTACCTTTAAGAAACATTCTTGGCAACCCCTGCGTTAAACTACCGTTTTGCTATCAAAATGAAAGAGATGAAAATGATCCCGTTACCACAAGAAAACAACAGTCGTTATCTCGAGATCAGAAGATAATTATCCCGTTATCATGGGAAAACGGAGTAAAATAAAGATATGAATCAATGGCCGCTTAGGGCTTCTGTAGATATGGATTCTGCAACACAAATACGTTTTAGAACACAAATAGTGTATTTCATACAGTGATGTTGAAGCAAGTCACGTTTATACTCACAGTCAGTAAAGAAAACATGGGCTGCCTTGTATTTAGTTGAATGAGGGTCTTTAAAGTCTGCGATGAGGGTTTGGACAGACTAAGCAGAGAAACAGAATCAATCAGTGCATTAGACTGTAGAGTTCACTTGAGTGTGTGGACTACAGTTTGTATTAGTGTGTACAATCAGTGTGTGCTTTATTGCTAGGATGGTTTGATCAAAATGATGCTGCCAAAGCAGATTGACTTGAGCTAAATTAACAAATGACCACAGGAAGTAACATATTTGCTCAACACGTCGTGCAAATAAAGCTGAAAAAAAGACTCAAAGAGACCAAAGAGAGCAAGATCAAAAGAAATATTTATTGGTGGGGGGGTGTAATAATGCCATTAAAGTAGCAAAATATGGGAAACCAACACTTGAAAACACATGCTGAGCTGTTTAAAATGTGACTCCTCTTTTTATGTTTTAGATTTTTTCTTCTAAGTCATGTTATCAGACTGTGTAACATTTTATTTTCTGATGATTAATTTGTCCTCTGGCATTATAGTATACTATTTAGTAATGTGCAAATAATTTGTGTACTTTTCTATCTTAAGAAAATCAGTATTACTTATTATATTTTTGGTACATTGTTGGCCTTTGGAAATACTGCACTTATTAATTATGGTATTGACAACAAAGCTAATTTGAATTGGAAGGAGGGAGAGTGAGAGAAAGAGCGAGAGAGAGCATGCTTACCTTCTCTGTGGGTGTAATCAGGTAAATGGCCTCCAGGCTGGGAAGAGGCTCTCGTCGCTTGAGGATGTCCTCCACAACTAGAGAGGCAGAAACAGACATGTACACGGTTACAGAAGCACATGCACAAACAAACAGACAAAAGAGAAATGTTAGTTGTGACCATCGTTTCTTACTGGTGATGCCCTCTGTCATGATATCTGTCATCTTACAGCAGGACGACAACATCCTCATGCTCAGTTGGTCCACAATAAGCGCCTGGAAACATTAAATACAACAGTAACTATACAAACAGTTTATTACTCACATTATTTGTTGCTAACAATAAAACTGTCTCATTAGTGATTGAGGCTTATTCAGTCACTCCCTAAATCTAGGCTTTAACTCTTTTCTTGTGGTCTTAGTTATTGTAGCTTGTCTAACGTGCACTATTGTGATCCAAAGACTTGAGCAAGAATCTATTTTTCTTCCACCTAAAAGATGTACTCTCATATGTTTTATGCATAGTTTGTGTCTTTATTTTGCTTTTTTCCTGTGTTTTAATATAATTTAGACAATTCCTAGCAAATTTGATTGATTGGATTATGTGGAACACAGCTGCACGGTCCTCAAATCATTATTCAAGACTGATTCAAGGGCATCAAAAATATTTGACTAATAGATTATTTGGCTGTGCGTTGCTCCACTCATACTCACTTACAGAAATGAGTAATGCTTGAATTGAGCCAGTACTTACTGGCACAGAGATTTGTGTCCAACTCTATACTGTTAATACTCAACACTGTGATTTTCCAAACAAAAGGTATACAGGATGTGATCAACATATGAATTGGGTTAATCAGCTCAGTTTTCTCCTCAAACTAGGGATGCACCGAAAATTCTTGGCCTAAGTTGAAACCGAATATATTGAAAAAAAACTTTTCCGAATACCGAACAAGTACATTCTCATTTTTGCCTTTTTTTTACCATTGCATATGTGATTTTTGTTGCAGTGTTTCCCACAGGATTTGGAGAGACCGTTTAGTGGATTTACCATAAAGCCTTAAATACATGTGCACTCGTAATTTAGGTGTGGCTACCTTAACCGTCTTCTCAGAAAGGAGTGACAGAAACACTCAAAGCGGGTCAGACCGTTTTCTGCCTTTTGTAAGAAGTCAGCCACAGATGGAGTGGATGTGCTAGGAGACAATTCAGTAGAACAGTGTCTGCAAACAGCAACTTCTTTCTCAGGCACTTTAAATGCTTCCAAAATGCTGACATGTCAACATAACTGTTTGGTAAAATTTGTGTTATCTAAACTAGGGCTGCAACTGAAAGTTACTTTCATTGGTAATTATGAAATGTCCTAAAGCCCAAGATGCCCGAAGTCCAAAGATGTAATTCCCAAACTCCCAAATATATATATATATACTATCATAGAAATCCAGCAAATATTCTGAGAAGCTGGAGCAAGTGCTTGTTTGACCTTTTTGGTTACTTGAAGGATTAATCGATTATCACAATTGTTGCCAATAAATGTTTTTGTTGATTGACTAATTATTTAATTGACTGTTTGTTTTACCTCTAATCTTGACGCACAGGTTTAAGCAAATTATTATCTAAATCCTGGACAGTGGGGGGAATTCTGTATCAGCCAGTCATAAAGCAGTTGCCAGTAGTAAATGGGTTAGCAGTTTTTTTCAGCAGAATATCAAAACATAAATAGCTCAAATAACACAAGATATTAACTGTCTTACCAAAGTGGAGAAAAACAAGAAGAAGCTACAGGGTTTTGATTTGAACTAAGCTCTAAAATAGGTCACTTCACTAATTAGCGTGTCTGGGTGAAGATGTGTTAGTTACTCAAATATGATGATGCTGTCTTTGGTTCGTGTCTCGGCCCATCAGTGCCCCCCCCTTTCTATTAGGCCCAGAGTCTGTTATTTCAGGGTATTTTCTTCTAACTTTGAGATTCTTACCTTCCATTCTCCCTTCTTCTTCACCTTCTTGATTACATCATTCATAATCTCTGTAAAAGAAAGAAAAATAAACATTGTCAGCAATCGTCAGGAGGGACGCATGATGATCTGATGAGAAAAGATGTTTAAATACATTTTCAACAGTGAATACTCATAAACAACCCCCCCCCCCCCCCCCCCCCCCACACACACACACACACACACACACAAGGCCTCCCAGAGCTCAGTGTCTCAGTTCCCAGACATTTACATAAACACATGGGGATATGGTTAAATAAAAAGACATGTGCTCTATGCCTTTGTGTCCTGCTTGTGTTCAAGAAGCAATTTTCGTTTGCCGAGGATTGTCTTCATAGACTACTACAATCAAACTAATAATTTAATAATTTTCAGTCTCTATTGAGTAGCAAAACTGTTTTGGTCATTTCAATGAATAAGAATTAATAAAGAACAAGGAGCCAATAATGACAACGGAGGCATATCTTTATGTCCCAACTGCATATACTGATCATTAATAATGCTTTGAGTATAATCATAACAGAAAAATAAAGAAGATTATTGGATTTAGGAATGTTATAGTTCCACACTTTGATAATCACATTACAAGTCTTGATATAAGATTTCACCGTCTTTATTAACGTTTACTTTATAGTTGCAGTAGTTTAAATTAGAGAAGGAGAGTGCTTATGTTTGCAAGTTTTGGTTGTATTAGCGCATCTGACTACAAATTCCAACTCAACAAATAAAAACTACAGTGGAAACAACAGCATCATCCTGTGCCACTGGTTAACAGTAATAATGCACTTCCTTCACTGGAGGACAACAACATGCGAAAGTCAAACATAGCCTCCAACAAGGTTAATGACCACAGCTCTGCACCAGTGGAATAAAACCACTCGATGAGGAGTGAATAAAAAACGCAGAGGCTGTCTGTCATCTCAGAGGAAAGATAATCCCATCCCACTGTGAGGTCACGGCACGATGGTCATGTTTATACCACCATACCGATATTGGCCTGATCACTGTGCCAACCATCTGCCAGCCGTACTAGGATGAATCCATTTAGGGTGAATTACTGTTTGACATCTTGCTGGATCGCTGTAAATGTAAACCGCTAAGCCCTTCGGTCCGACTACAACCACAGATACTGATGGATTACCACAGATTAACAAGGACTAGTACAAAAAAAAAGATTACAGGGCAAACATCAAATGAAGATCAGGCATGTGTTCATGTCATTCATCTTGTTTTCTGCCTACTTCACAATACAATGATACAATGAAAGAAGGATACATATATAGCATGGAAGGAAGGGTATATAGATAAGATGGAAGAAAGGGTACATAGATGGGATGGAAGGAAGGGTTTATATAGATAGGATGCAAGGAAGGATAGATATATACCAGAGGTTCTCAAACTTTGAGGGATGGTTGAAATAGGGCCACGGAGAGAGAGAAACGAGGAAAAGCTGTTTGTGTTCTGAAAACACAAAGTTAGTTATTGTAGTTTTGCCCGTGGAATTGGCACATTTATCAACACAGTTAGCTGGAGCTGTAGCAGTTGTGACACACATGCTCATGGAGGCAGACACTTCAATACCCTTAGTGGCCCTGATTGCTGCAGTTAGTAGTTATTAGTTATTTGACATACTTTAAATGGTGTCAAAATGCTGACAAATTTTAAAAATGGACACAATGGCATCATTATACTTCCTGTTTAGATCCCCCCGAGAGCATGATTGAAACTTTCCAATGATTATCTGCCAGATAGATTCATTTATAGGTGTGATAAAACCCATTAATATCTACATTTTTCATGTTACTCTGTCACCATGGGGTGTTCATTTGAGGGGCCCACAGCATCAGACTTTCAAAACTTTTCTAAAAGATGGACAAATAGATAGATGAATGAGAGAGGGGTAGACAGATAGAGTTACTGTATATAACTCAAACCCTTCAGTTTTGCATGTGAATATAGCTCAAATTTATGTTGTTGAAAAACTACAGAATGGGCCTTTAAAAGCAGCCTACGTACCATATGACTGAAGTTTGACAGGGTGAATAATGAACCACTGACAGACATCGGCCTGCACCTCCTGTGAGTCAGAGGAACTGTATCTGACCTCCTGTGGGACAGATGAACTTAGAATAGTACGAATATAATTCACACTAAATGACTGAGAGATTCCCCGACTCAGCTTCAGTCTATTTCCAGCATCGTCTGTGTCCTGTTCTGTATGCTGCTGTGTCAGCATAATGGCATATACAAACCAAAGCAACAAAACGCACATGGGTTTTTTATCTTATTAAGGACAGAGTACTTTGACTTTGGAGCTGGCGACAAATCTGTATTAAATGCTCAAAGTAACAGATGTAAAATTAAAGCTGGTTCCCTTTTATTCCTAAAAAGTCGACTTGTTTTTCATCCAGCAGCGCTCCAGGACGCAGGATGAGACACTTCTATGAACAAAGAAGCAGTGGGGATATCCGTCACTGTTTCCCCTTTCCTCTGCTGCAGCGTTTCCTCTCATGTGCTGCAGCTTTTTTCAGATAAAAGCAACTCTAGTCACTGTCAAGTCAAGTGAATGCATTTTTTTATGATTTTCTTAAGTTTCAAGATGTCACACTTATGTTCTCCAAGAAATGTTGATTGATGTTGATTAAAAATGTATCTTTCAAAAGGCTACATTCACACTGCATACTGTATTAAATCCTCCTCTAAAGGTGAACACAACACAATGTTTGCAATCCCTGTTGGTCAGTGAAGGCATACAGTTGAGAATTTAACTTAATATTTTATTGGTACACATATGTGTGAAAAGAATGTCGGCTAGCAAGCAAAGTTGAAGCTTTACTATGCAAAATTTTAACATGAACAATGAATCAGATGATCAAAAAGTGCCACTTGTAATGACAAACCCACTGAGAATTATGACCCGACCCACTTTAGCATCTTTTAGCTCAGTGATCTAGTTTTCTTGTTAACCCCACAGCTGTTTTCAGCAAATAAGCTCTGATAAACTCACTGTACACAAACCTGTCCAGCACCAAATGGCAGAAAGATAAAGCTGGTGACTAGCTGTTAGCAGTTAGCAGCTAAATAGACAGGTATTTTTTTCAGGAGTTGGTAGAGACCAAACCAGAGCTAAAAGGAGAGTGAGAGTGTGTTTTTTTCATCATGTGGACACAAACACGGATCCAAATGAATCCTAGTGTTGCTCAATGTTAGCTGAATTTATGCTCAGCTTGCTCCACAACCCCCACATGGTTAAACAAAAAATGAATGCAGCTTTAAGGTGAATCATTTTCGGAACAAAAAAGCCCCTACACACCCACACAGGTGTTTCCACTTAATCTACCTATTATATCTCAGGACTGTGTGATCATGTACAAATGACACTTGATCTCTCTGACTCTGTTAACGTCATTGTATCTGTTTGGGTGGGACATAGTTTTATCATTCTTGGGTGCATGGCGTTTAGTGACCTCAACATACAATAGCTCTGCCTAACATCAACCGGAGTAAAGAAAATAGCAACCTGAATTTCACATCATTTTGTCTGTATAGTATAAACTAGACTGTTTAAATAATGTGCAACTGCAGTAATCGTATGAAATCTGCCACCCAAACTATTTTACTTTTTGTCTTCAGAAAAGAGTTAAGATTAAAACGATCATTTTTATATTTAGATATCTAGTAAGTAACGGAAATGTTTTAAGGGTGAATAGGATAGAAAACTATTATAACACTACATTTCAACAGCTACTCCCTCACTCCTCTCTGTGTTGTCCATCACTGAGTCATGTAAATAACATGTTGATGATAAAACTTTGACAAAGTGGACACCCTCCTAACTGACGACTTCATGAGAATGAAGGTTAAATCAAAACTATGTCAGGAGGAGACAGCACTGTGGATCTTTCCTTTCTGACCTCCTGATCCAAGCACAACAGTACAGAAAGCACCAGCCAGACAGAAGGGAAGGAACCTGAAAAAACACAGCGCAACAGCTGTGTCAACCAAACAGACAGAGTGGCGCAGACACACACACACTGCTTAGAAGCCTCATAATCTTACTCACATCCAGTTTAACAGGATACACATCCTCACGCAGAGCAAGGCAGAAAACGAAGACAGACCAAAGGCACAAAATGTTGTAGTCAAACCATAAAAACTGAACATATTAATTAACAACTGCAGCCAAAGAAAATAGAAGAGCAGGATTTCTTTTAACAAAATGTCTGGTCAATCTTCCCTTTGATGAATAGAAGAATAAACTTGACGAGCCTCAGTTGTCCTTACTGTGTTTACTAAAACACAAATCAAAATGAAGATCTTGGTACAGCTTGCATACATGGACACATTCAACACCAAAAACTTAAACTCTTCATACACTTGTTTCAGCTTTAGATGGTACTATGAATAAGGAAGTGGTAGACAACGTGTCTGTGACTGACAGCCAAGAATAGATCACACCCATGCTTATTATGTAGGTGAAGTCAAGGTCTTCAGCTTATCTTTACCTCCAAGCATGCAAAGCCTCCCAGCATGCCAAGTCTGAAGGACTAAGGGATGCTTCTCAGATTAATTATTGCATCATTGCATAACTTAAACACTCCTTCATACCCATCACCCTCTGTGGCCATTTTACCCAAATGACGATATTAGCCACAATAAGAAGCAGTGTGTGTGCTTCACGATATTGCTGATTGAGTTGATGCACACACAGGCCTGACTCTACATATTATGCAGCAGTGAAGAGCTGACAGTTTCTTCCTTTGCCTTGTGGTTCTCCCCCCTTCAGGGACTTTCACCTATGAGCACATGACCCATTTTTTCTCTGGATCTCAGCTTCACAGCAGCATCTCTCCCGAGAGAATCTGACACTGCCGATCTTAAAGAGACAGGCCGACATTTCAGCAGGGCTCGCCCAGCCTTCACCACCCTTCAGCTCAGAGACTTTTTATTTAAATTATTTGTCAAAAAAAAACAAAGCCTCACTTCCAGCATTGTAAAAAAATAAATAAGCCATTGACAAAAACAAAA